CCCCAAAACCCCAAAACCCCAAAACCCCAAAACCCCAATCCTATGATATCAATGAAAATATGGAGATATCAAGTAGATACAATGATTATCCAACCAAATCTTAGAGGTTGCAAAAATTTTAGGTCATTTTTAAAATCAAGATTAGCCATATTTCATGCTCATGTCCAATTATTGGTTCTTCTTTGTGTCTACCTCATCTTCAGTGTGAGCATCACTATATAAAAGTTATAGAGAAGTTTAGAAACGAGGCTAATTAAAATATGAAATAGCTTTAAAACTCCAAAAATAATACTCACTCAAGCGAAGCTATAGAGTCGTTGATTCTGAGGGTTCCCTTCATTGTCTCTGCAAAATTGGGGTCTTTGTGCACAGGCTCTTGCTTCCTCTTCTCCTTTGGAGGGAATAGTATCAATCTCTCTATCTGCAATACCGGAGACTCAATCAATAAGGCTATCGGGATAGATACGATAAAAGACAGAAAAATCATCGAGATGCTATAAAACACCAATAATCTTTTAGTTATGAAAATAGAGCTTCTTAGTGAGGAAAACACAGCAGTGATCACAAAGATATGCACAAGGTAAACGATAAAGGTTAATTTAGCCCATGGTCCCCATACTCTCGCACCAAAGAAGGCTCTTATTGCTCTTCCTTTTCCAATTATTGCACCTGCAAAGAAGAGTGTCAAGGCGAGGTTGAACACGTTTCGGTGGAGTGCATTGAAGAAGGCAGAGGATACTCTTCCCCAAGTTCTCCCTTCCAGATCTCTGAGCTCACTGTATGGTACCAGAATAAGCCCAATCATTACTGCTGATGAGATGATGTACGAGATGATTCTGATAGGAGCCTTTTTAAATAAATTAAAAAATCTTGCACCTATCAAATGCGTGTAATTGCTATCCTTTTCCGATTTCATCCATTCATAATAGAAAATCCCAAAAAGTCATCCTACAAAGTACGGCCCAAATCTTGAATAAGGATGGTGGTAAATAACACTTGGGTTCTCATCCTTCAAGATGACCATCGGATGATCTCCAAGGTAAGAGATGGTAAAAACGGTAACTATATTAGCAATGATCATAAAGATGCTCAAGAAGTAGCCTAGAAACTTTTGATTCAGGTATGCTAGCACAATGAGGGGTAGGAACATGAAGAACCACATATCATTTGCTAAGTACCAGAGGAAAATCATTCATCTCTCTCCTCTATCAGGATAGAAATTATTTATGAACAGCATGTTTGTCCACCAATATCGAGAGCATCTTCCAATGAATGCAAATTTGGGAAGTTCAAACAAAGGCCCAGAAGCTGAAAACTCTAGGAAAGTCAGGACTAGGGCTATGAATAATCCCAGGGTTGGAAGGATTCTGAGAAATCTGTGGAAATATATCATATGCAATGGGATCATCCTTTTACCTTCAAATTTAGATATCATCAAATAGGCTCCCAAAAAGGCTGACATGTAAAAGAACACGTCAACTGAGTAGAAGGCTCCCATTACGAATGAACCGTATACGCTGGAAACTAGAGGCATAACTTCCTGGAGATTCAGTGATGGGATTATTCCGATCCCCTCATGCATATGGCCAAATATGATATAAAACATACTAATGACCCTCAGTCCGTTAAAGACTGAGAGATACTCATTATCTTTTTGAGGAGTCCAAAACATCTTCCTTAGATTTCTGGAGAAGGAGAAAGCAAGGAAAAATTTCTGCCAAGCCGGAATTGACCTCACTAGAGCTTTATCCCTCAGAGAATCGTCTGTTTCATTAGAGCCAATGGTGAATACATACTCTATTAGGACTCCAAATATGGAACAAAAGAAAAAGAGAATGCCAAATCCGACAAATCCAATGATATGATTTGTTTGAGGCACAGCAGGGTCATTTTGAGGTAGGGAGACTCTGATCTCCCCTTGGATTCCAGCATTAACAGCTAATGAGCTCAGTGCATCTTCGATGATTCCAACATTTGCTCTATTTCATCCGACTGGGAGTCAAACACCAAGGTTAATCGGAGCTCCAACTACCATAATAGTCGCAAATGTTGTATTGGGGTTTGAGTTTCATAAGTCAATTTGTCCCAAGTCGTTGATTCCTTTCCCAGTTGACATAAACATCACTTGGTGGTCTTTGGAATCTCCTCTGGATAGAATCTGGAATAATTGCTGAAAGCAATTTTCTTCGTAGCTTAGTCCGAGTTGGACTATCGCCATGAAACTCAAGAGCAGCAAGACCCATACACAAGAGCCAGTAGGTACTCTCTGTCTATTTCGTGTTTGAATGAGAGGTATCATGAATAATAATTACAGAAATAAGATAAAATTTCTATTAATTCTCTCCAATGGGGTTTTGGGGTTTTGGGGTTTTGGGGTTTTGGGG